TAGTGTTTAGTGTTTAGTGTATAGTGTTTAGTGTTTAGTGTTTAGTGCATAGTGTATAGTGTGTAGTGTATAGTGTATTGTGTTTAGTGTTCAGTGTTTAGTGTTTAGTGTATAGTGTTTAGTGTTCAGTGTTTAGTGTTCAGTGTTTAGTGTTTAGTGTATAGTGTTTAGTGTATAGTGTTCAGTGTATAGTGTATAGTGTATAGTGTATAGTGTATAGTGTATAGTGTATAGTGTATAGTGTTTAGTGTTTAGTGTATAGTGTTTAGTGTTTAGTGGGGGAATTAACGAGGAATGGAAAAATTCTACTTACAATTAGTAAGATCAATTTCATTTTAAACTTGGTACTTTAATTTACCATTATTACAAATCTACCACCTGTCGAATATAAAAACAATTATCTATATTCGCATCTAGAATAATATTATGTTGTCAAAATATCAATTACTAGAATAGTAATTATTAATTATTATCAAAATAATAATATCAAAAGATTGGAAAATGAAGCTTAACAAATGTCAATTTCACCTGTGAATGTACCGTCGCGTTAATTTGTTACTATTTATAATATATAATCCGGTGACCTATGAACTGAATTTATAGTACGTATCTAACAATTAGTAATATTCATATTACGAAGCCAATCATCGATTAATTGAAATATCATACGTCTTTAGTCAGTTATTTATGTAATTATTGATTCACACGTGTTTCTTAATTCCTACCTGTAATTTTCCATTTCTGGGCAAGACCAAAGATCCAGATCTAGGTAAATCGATTCCAGACAGCCTTAAATCGATCGATTTTCCAATTCCCACTGCGTGTCTCATATCCAAGGGAAATGTCACGTAACTGTCTAATTCAGGTATCCGTTTCCCAATCCAATTTTCAGCCGTTTCCCATTCTAAATTTGGAAGCCAATGTTTCTCGACACCGAGAACTACTTTTATAATTAACAAAGATTGAAGAAATGTCCAAGCTTCGTAAGAAACTCCACATTTCATGATATCGAGCAACGGTTTCCTATAAATTAAAATCTTATAGATTTCTGAAATTTGTTATTCTTTTAACGACACTGATTTATCACGAGTAGCGTTAAAAGTTCTTTTAATTAATCGAAGATTTTACTTTTCAATTTCAATATTTGAAGCTTCGTACGAGTCGAGAGAGAAACGATTTTTATTAAAACGGTTCGATTAGAGTTTAGGCGAATAGGGACGAACGATCGTCGAGTTAAACGATCGGAAACTGAAGCGAATAATCGGAGTTGAAAGGGGGCGTGCGTAGAGATTTAGCAGCTGCTGCAGACTCGGCCTATTTATCGTGATAATTTCAGTTCCGACGATCTTTTTACAACGACGATGTAGAAACCCATTCGCGAACACATTTCTATACTTTGTGTCATTAGGAACGGTCAATTTTTCTATTTTTAAACTTCGAATCTTAATATAATATTACGGTGTCTTGTAACAATCGGACATTGCAAAAGGAAAACGTATTACTTTCGTGTTTGTTAATTTTCTAATTTTCATATTACTTGCTGTCTAAAAGCAACTTCTCGTATTTTCTATTACCAGAGATCTTCGATGTAATATTCTTATCCTTTAATTGAATTTTATAAGAATAACTATCTTTTTTTTGCTTTTCATAGGCGATTGAAATTCGATCGCTGCTAACTTTGAAATACGCAAGAAGACTAATTGCGAGCACAGCCGCGATATCAAAGCCGACACGAAGTCTATCTCGAATGATTCTGGAAGCATTCGCGTTTTTCGACGTTCAAAGTCCTTTGTTTATCCTCGATAAGGTTTGTCAAGGATTTTTAAGGCATCATCACTTTTCTCTTTTTTTTTCTTTTTTCCTTTTGAAGAACATTTATTGGATAAACATCTGGACAAAAGTTTAAACAAGGTTCGTCTAGAATATTCTTAATTCTGTAAAAATAATACTTAACTACAAGTATCTAGTATCTTTTATTCTGATGACAATCGAGATCTTACGTAAAACGGTAACATTCATAGGGATTTTTAAAGTACAGCGAATGTATGCAATTGCAGTGGATCGATGATTCTGTATATTTCGGTATGAACGATAGCTTTATTTAAATTCATAGTCGCAAATGGATATGAAAAAAAGGGATACAGAGCTGGGTAAATTCGATTTGAAAGCGAAACGACAAACCATTTCAGCGTTCCATCTCGCAATAACTTGTCAACCTAGATAAAATACCAGTTTATTTGAAACAACGTTAACAAGCTCCAGGACATTGCTGTTAATTTATAGAATTTCCTCTTCGTGCAACGAATAAAATTTATTTATATAAATAAAGTAAGGAATACACGATACATTCGTAGGTCTAAAAATGCTTTATTTTGGAAAATTGTCACAAGAACTGTTCATTTGTTATTTGAAATCGTCAAAGATAAATTATTCACCAAACATTATTTTTTAATGTGACATAGTTTATGTCGTTGTTATTGAAATTTACATTTATTACGTAATATATTATATGAACGTTACTTATTACGATAGAAATTATTTAATAACGATTCTCCGCTACTCAGCATTTTCGATATTATTTATTGAACGAATCTATGTACACGATATGAACCTTCTAATAAAGCATTTTCAAATCCATGTGTATAAATCTCAAAACACTCGTAATTCGATCGTTTCAAACATATTTTATTCGTACAAACGCCTTAACCACCAAGCCGAGCCAAACATCGCCATACAAAAATAATCACCACATCGACATCTTAGGTATTGTTTAAATAAAATATCTGAAAATCGATCGTTTAAATAACATGTTTTCCTTTTTAGATCAATTTTGTAATTATTCTTAAATAATTGCGCTTCGACGTATTCAAAGATGAATATGATTCTTCTCCGAATTATTTGATCATACCTTGTTCCATATTTGTTCGAGTAAATATTTTCTAGAGTAATTTTTCGCATGATTTCTGATTCTATTAGGCAAATTGTACCGAAGACACGAACTTCCTCGTACACGTTTATTATTCAAGTATACAATCAAAAGGAGGACTTGAAACGAGGAAAGCAAGATGACGTTTATTTCGTGAAATAGTCTGGATTTGTTATTTGTATATGCATGCAAAGGTATAATTTAAATGTACGCAGAGACAGTATTTAAATCGTTCCTTGGTACATTCCAAAGCGTTGATTGAAATAAAAAAGTATTATCTCGGCATAAGGTAAAATTCATTCTCGCGAAAATAAAGTTCGAACGAAAACAATTAATTAAAATCGACGCATCGCCTCAAGTTACGCTCCTTTATTTCCGTTTCAAATAACATTTGCCCAACTTTGACACGCCGCTTTTCCATTCGATTCAACCGTCGTCCAAACGATGGAACGATCCACCCAGCTCTGCGGTTACTTTTACTCATATAACATCGATCAAATTAAAAACCACCACCGATATTATCAGACGTAAAGAAAGAGAATTCGATAGGTAGATGATAAAAATGAAACGCAAAGCCTGAACAAGATGTAAGAGACGTTGAAACTTTCAAACGCGTCTTTATTGTTGCGTTATCGATATACTTCGTCTGACAATAAAACTCTGCGACATCGAATTAGAGCTACATTGCCATAAACGTCGGCGACACCATTCAAATGGATCGTCGAGCAAGACATCCTTCGCGAAGAGTCCTATTGCGACGAATTCTCCTCGTCTTCGGGCAGCCTCTTGCCAAGGCCAAAGTGATATCTCTGGCTCATCAAATCGTTCGGTCTCTTCGGTCCTATCGGCTGTCCGTTGTTCGGATGAGCCGCCCTCTTACCCAATCCAAAACTATAGGGCCTGCTACGTTTCGCCTCCAAAAGATCGTCCAAATTCTCTTGCGAATGATAAGCGAGATTATCCACGGGGAGATAGTCCATGTTTAATCTGACAGGGTAGTCCGAGTTATCGTTTCGTTTCCCTAGACCGAAGCTGTATTGCCTGCGTTTACCAAGACCGAACGAGTAGTCGCGTCCTCTCTGCAATTATTGAATTTAATTATTTCGTAGAATCGCATCTTAGAAGAATGGGTGGGTTGGCTATATCGAGAGAAAAAGGGCTATTGTACAATTTGCGCACGTTTATAATATTTTTCTTTTCGAAAGGAAGCTTCTAACATGGGAAAGTTTGATTAGAAAAATATATTGTTTCGTAATATGTAAAAGAATCTTCTTCTTAGGTATGTTCCTACCTTGTTATCGCTTGTGTCTATCCAACGTTTCCCAATACCAAAGTTGTACACTGGTAGCCTCTTATATTCGGAAACGTAAGTATAAGCTCTTTTGTCAGGCACGGAGTCGTCAAATTCCATAGAATTCAACATAGCATTATAATCATGAAGGTTCGTGGAATAAGGCGGTGCTTCTTCCATCGCCAAAACTGGTCTTTCCACGATCCCGATCAAATAAAGAAAAGCTATGCTCGACGTTAACAAACCTGTCCTAATCTTCATTGTAAAGTTCTCTTTCCGTTTAACTCTGTCCTGAAAAAGATAGAAATGCGGTTAAATATTGCAGTATCGGGGAAGAATCCTGGAGAAAAGGAGAAGACCGGTGAACTACAGGTAGAAAACAATAGAAGCGATGACGGGCCGAAGCAGATGGGAAATTCCTATGGGACATATACCCGTGGCCCTTTACGACATTGGTTAATTACAAAAGGTGTACTTGTCATCCACGTCTGTGGAACACATGTGAGTACTAGGAATACCAAAACCGTATTTACGACTGAGTTGCGACTAGTTGCAGTAGCGAGGAAGCTGCGATTAGTCGCGGGTTAATCAATTGTGAGCTGTGAGCTGTAAGTTGCGAGTCGTCAGTTGAGTCGAGTCGAGTTGAGAGCGAGTTGCGAGTTGGTTAATCGTTAATTGCCGAGTTGTTACGAGTTGCCAACTGTTAGTTCGTGAGTTGTGAATTATCGATTTAGTTGTCTTAGTTATATCGCATTTAAATCACAGTAAATAAATCCATAAAGATCATTGTTCCGTGATTTCTACAATATAATGTATAAATATAGAGTTTAATCAACAATTTATTATTTTATATTTAATCTCGCTTGATTGAATTTTTTATCGAAAGCTGTAGGATGTATTTTTTAAAAGTATGCAACCAACTATAGGAATATTTGTTGCCCAAATATCGTTTCATCGAAAACCATTCGAATCAGGAGATATTTTATCGGAATGAAAGCAATCTGTTTCCTAATTTCGAATTGGGTTTCAAAATTCACAAATCATGAATAGCAAGTGACACGACACATTGCCTCGAAAATTGCTTTCCCGTGTATCTAATCTGTTGAGAATTTCCACCTTCGTAGTCCGAATCCAGTTGCCGAAATTTCGTTGCCGACCCGATTTTATCCGAAAATTTTTCGTCATAATCACAACGCGGATTTACATCGAAAATGCAAAACCGAAACTCTTAGCGAGTTCACCGCGGAAAAGTTAAGTGATCTCATAGATATTCGATATCGTCGTTGTCATTATTTATTTAATCAATTATATATTTCCCAATGTATTGTTATACCTAGCAGAAGAATTATTGTATCTGTTTTAAATTAAACTTTCAAAGTTTTTTTGCTCGGAAGCAGTAAGTTATAGAAATTCGGGAATTTTTAAAAAGATTCCTCGGATAAATTGTTTTCTACATAGATTGGTATATTAACTTTCCACGAGAAGATGTATTTTTTAAAGAAATAGAAAGTTCAAATATTTTCGCGCTATACTGGTTCGTAATATTTATACAGTACAATAGTTTCCAGTATATTCGTTTCGCGTTTCTGACCACTGTCAGTCCATTTCCATTTATATTCCTTTGCGAATTTCTTTACGTTCTTCGCTTCCACCATATTTATTCCACTCCACGTATCACGTACTTTGAAAATACTTTACTTTCAAAGATCTATTCTTCTACGTATATTTCAGAATCCCGCGTCAAGTAAAATCTATAAAATAATACATTTTTTAAGTATTTTCAACTTACTTAATTTCCAAAGAATCGTGCCTTTCGTAGTATTAAAATTTGACAAAGTAACATTTTTAAATTTTTACTACTAAAAAAATCCGAACTGTCTTGGTTCTTTTAAGAACCAAAGACACGACTGAAGTTCCAATAAATTTCTATTATATTTTAACGATTGATCAAATTTTAACCGGGTAATTGATACAGGCTAGCAGATACTAAAACAGTTTTTCACGTCGACCGTTTCGTCTTCCTCTCTTTCTCTTTCTCTTTCTCTTTTTACAACAAACACGCGAGAAATGGTAAAACGATCACGGTTTACGATCCACGATTCAGCCGAAAAATCCGACGCTACCAACGATTCTTTCGAGAGCCACGAACGATTGTAAATCCTGTAAATTGAACGAGATGAGCTCCGGGAACGCGTATCCTAGTTTCCCGGTGTTGGCCTTTCGTTTCACTCGGAATTGCCACTTTAAATCGAGGCCGATTTAATTTCCACGGGTATCTCACAGAAATGAAACGTCCTGGTAAATGTTAGGTAGGTACCACTGAAATTTTCACGAGCTTCGCGAGAAATCTTGCTTCTCGGCGTACGAATCGATATTTTCAGAACTAATCTCACGAATCGACTGGCTCTAACGTACAGAGGTGTTAATAACCCTTTCTTCGAGAAAAATTGTTTTGCGCGAAACAACGACAAATTTCACTAAAGATACGTCTCTCTTAATACGGAGAAAGCTATTCTTTACAGGAAAGGTTCTCAAATTTTGCTACGTGACCATAAAATTGGAGAATGTGATCCGAAATTATGAGAATCAACGGTGTTGCAGTTGCGTTTTAGAGAAAAGTTTTTAGTCGAAATAACGACTTAGTCTTTGCTATAGATATTCGCTTTTTTCAATAATGACGATGAAAAAGAAATGGACCATGATGTTATATTTGCAGTTGTATTCTTATATTCTTCATGATAAATAAAAGAATAAAATATTCTTTATTTTCATTCCACGAAACGTCAAAATAAAGATGAACGATGATCAAGAAATTTATATTTATTTAATAGAATCATCGTTGTTGTGAAAATTCTTGACGTTTGATCATTTTCATTAGTCGTAATCAAGTATGACCAAGAGATACCGATATCCAGTGGACTTCTGTATCGAATATTGAACAGATAACCAATGATACGCGGTTTCAGTATCGTACAACAACACGTGTAATCGCTCATCCTAAATGCGACCACGAATTCCTAATGATTATCGGATTAACTGAGTTCCAATTCGCTTAAGCTCGATAGTGGCATCTCTCGTATTGAAGAGGCGCGATTCAATATTCTACAATATTGTTAAGATTGTCGTGCACTGCCTTGGAATTCTGTCATAAAATTGGTAATTTTATTTTTGAAAAATCCCAGGATAAATACGTAGTGAGAAGGTATTTTTCGTTGATTTTCGTTTTTTCCTGATAAAGTATTAATAACTACGATTAATATTTAAATAGCATTCACACGCTTGATTTGGTACATTTATTTTGATTAGTACAGTTAATTGGTAAGATCTTCGTAATTTACGTAAGGAAACTTTGCCAACAATTTCGGCAAAGAAATTTTTCAACGATTTCCTCGATTTAATAGAAATTCGAAGACCGAATTCTTCGATACTTCGATATTCGCGAACAGAATTTCCACAAATTAATAGAAATACAACTCTCTGGAAAACTTGGTACGTATAATCAACGTAGTTTCATAGAAATTCGAGAGTAAACTCTGATAAACGAGAAACCCTATAAAATTGCATCGCAACAGGTGCCTCGACTCTCTCTCAACCAATGAATTTAGTTTTTAATTACAGCGACGCTCGTATTTTTATTGCACGAGAAATATCAATTCGCCGGACTTTCGTCCCGCCGAGTTAATTCGCCGGCGTAAATCTGCCTTTTCGATCTTCGCTGGATGAAGATGCATTAGCACGTAAAAAAAAAAAAAAAGAGAGAGAGAGAGTAAAGAGGAAGAGAAGCGAGAAAAACGAAGAGGAATAGAAAGTTCCCATAAAATTGCAAATTGCTTTGAATAATCATTCCGTCTCGATTCATCAAAGTTCTTTTCTATGGCTTTTCCACGCGAATGTGATGAGTTTCGGGTTACTGGACTGGCAAAAACGTTGAAAAGAGGGCGTGAAAGGAAACGGGAAGATGGGTATGCCGAGATGTGATTTATCTGATTCGTTTGGGGACATCGATCACGTGTCTTGTATCGTGCTTCGTATCGATTATCCAGCTGCTTTGAATCAGCCTGTTCCACGTGTTTGCTGCGTGTACTTTGAGAGATCTGCTATGTGTTCATTTTTTCCTATTTTTAATAGTCTTTCCGTAAGCAATGTTTTGTGTTACGACAGGTATTTGCGTTTCCATTAATGCTCCTTTAGAGGCGAACAATATTTCTCGCGTTCTGACTATTCTCTTTGGACACTGTGTGCAGCGATAAGTATTTCTGTTTTACGTAATTCTTAATGTTTTTAACTTTTTTAATAATTACTTTTAATAGGTAAAACGAATCTCTATTTAAGTACCGATTCTCTAGTCGTATCCAAAAATATAAATCTTCGCATTATGCAGTTTGATTTATTCGTAATTTCGAAATACACAAAATGCCAAAAATAAGCGAGTGTCTGGATACTTTGGAGTTTCTTCCCGAGGAAACCTGTACCGATGATCTTTGCTGAAAAATTATTTCCCTTCCTACTATGGCGTTTCTTTAATCCGCGAAGAAACTCCTAAAAGGCTTTCGTAAATCTCGCTTACTCACAAGTTTTAAGTTCACGAGCTACGACGTCGTTAGGTGGTAATCTCCAAAGTGATAGAAGTGCAATTTTACAGCCACTGTCTTAATCTTTAAAAAAAATTTGGTAATTATATACTCCGTGGCATTAGAGTTTCTTTAAACATTTTAAAATAAAGTTCAGAAGTTTCCTCTCGTTATTAAATTATCGAAAGGTACGATTACGTCTGAAAGAGAAGAAAAAAGATATTGGACTGTGTCATTAAAGGCTCGTGTACGTAATTCTGAACGTATTTTTTCTTTCATAAAATCGAACTGGTATTTATTTTTCATTACTGCGTCTCTTATTCTGAAATTAACTATTCTAATAATGTATGACAAAATAAACGACTTCTTGCTATAATACAGTTATTCGTCGTGACAGGTTTCTCTCCTAATAACGTAGTAACTTATCGTTAGTATAGTAATCTCTCTTCTAAAGAGACTTCTAACTGCTTTCCATTATACAGAGCAACGTACATTCACGTACTGCTAAATGATACGGAATTCGATATACTTGTAGCTAATTAATTAGTACTATAATAAAGTAAATACTATAATAGATACAATGGCGTACAAGTACTTTTTACAGACACCGTATATGCTTAACAAGATCGTGCCAAAGTCGATCACAAAAATTCCAACTTTTTATCAAAAAAAGAACGACGACAAAATGTTCCTTGAAGGAATTAGAAATAAAAGTACAAG